GAGGACCCGCCTTCTGATATTTGCTATGACAAGGAAAGTTTGTGTTGAGATATGGAATTAAATGAGAAGGCATTTCTGTAGCTGCAGGAGCCGACTCTATCGAGTATGAAGTCGAGGAGACAGGAGAGTCGAAGCGACATCAGCAACCGTCAGATCGAGACCGATGCTGGCAGGAACATTCGAAGTGAAATTGGAGGGAACAGGTATAAAACGGGTTCTCGCGCCGCACGGTTTAAACTTTGCTGCAATAAGGGAATGTACCCCTTAGAGTACATGGCTAGCTAGGTCGTTTCACATTCTTTTGTATTTATTATATGAACCTATGTATGCATCAGCTATAATCATCCCAGTCATGTACATTCACTCTGACCTGAGGTCAACGTTTCCGCTGCAACAACTACATGCGATCAACCCAGAACCGATTCCTGGCTAAGTCCTACTCAGGATTGTAACATGGTATGAGAGCTACTCAGGGATTCTTTGCACCCCCCTGCTCAAGGCCAAGAGGGTAGAGGAGCAGGAGGAGGGAGAGGAAGAGGTCGTGGAGGCCGTGGCGGTAGCGGAGGTGGTGCTGCAAATATGAAGAGTGGAGACAACGAGAGCGAGTCGAGCGACGATCGCTTTCCGGGCCAATTCTTCTTCGTCGCAACGCAAGCACCGGCTGGACCAGAGAAGTGGAAGGCTTTGATGAGCCAGTTGTTGTGGGAAAGGTCACCCTACACTCCCTGGAATATTGGGTGATCGACAGCAGCGCTACCTATAGCTTGACACCTCGCACGGACTTGCTCACCGAACTCGAACCGTCACCGGTGAAGCATGTTACATTGGCTTTGGGGCAGCGAGCATAGTTGAAAGGCACGAGCAAGGCCATGTTCAAGGGTGCTGATGGGAAGATGGTGGGCCTAAAAAACGTGCTTTGGGTGCCCAACCTTGCTGCTAACGTGATCTCCGTGCGGCGGTTGCAAAAGGCCGGCATGGACACGAGCTCGAAGGGAGCCAAGACCTACACCGTGAGGCTTGGCAAGCGGATTCTTTGGGCCCTTCATGAGGATAGGGATGTCTACAACGAGATGTGGCAGATCCCTGTGGTTCCTATGCATAAGGAGAGGCAAGTGGCAGCAAGCGTCAGCACCGAGGATGAAGCAGTTGGTAGCGGCTATGGCGCGAACGATGGCGCCAGAGAGAACTAGTCCAAGAAGAGCAATCTTGGAGGGACCACCAAGCTGGGTGATCATAAGGAGAGTGGTGCAGCAGCCAAACAGCAGCAAAAGGGTGAGGAGAACCCCAAGGCAGCAACGGAGGAGAAGCACGGAGAGAGCATGTGGGGCACAGTTGCGAATGAAGCATTCTCCAATCCGACTTCGGCTGTGGGGGAGTGTGATTGGCTGACCTTGCATCGACGAATGGGGCTTGTGGGTCTGCCTATTTTGCAGTAGCTAGTGAAGGAAGAGATGGTTGCTGGCATACGTGTGAAGGGGGAGCCCAGTGAGGCACTTGGCTGGAGCTGAGTATTTCCTCACCATCGTCGACGTCTACACCCGCATGACCTGGGTATATGTGCTGTCCAAGAAGAGCGACGTGGCTGAAATGGTGAAGAGAGATTGGTTGCCGATGGTGGAGCGGCAACAAGACCGTCTTGTGAAATCAATCCGCACCGATCGAGGGGGAGAGTTCCTGAGCAAGGAGTTTTCATTGTGGCTGAAGAAGAATGGCATAAGGCACTCCCTTACTATGCCATACTCCCCTGCAATGAACGGCATCGCCGAGCGAGTGAACCGGACAATAACGGAGACGGCACGGGGGTTTCTCATTGAAGCCGGGCTTCCCGACTATTTCTGGCCAGATGCGGTGCGGAGTGCGTGTGTGGCTAAAAACAGAGCTTTGACTCATGTGGGAGCAGACAAATGGGTGCCCTATGTGGAGTGGATTGGAAGGAAGCCAAAGGTGGATATGCTTCGGGTGTTCGGGTGCATATGCATGGTGCTCGTGCCTAAGCATCTTCGGCACAACAAGCTTGGTGCCAAGGCGATATGGGCTGTGCACTTGGGCATGGCTCAAAACAGCAAGGGATGGCTTCTTTGGGACCCATTCACCAAGAAGTTTTTGGTGCGCAGGGACTGCAACTTCATGGAAAATCTCATGTACAAGGAGTGGAAGGCGGGAAACGAGGCAAAGATATGCGTGCGGCTTGGGGAGGTGAGGAGTACCGGTTTGGAGCATGTGGAGCTGCCTTTGGAGCTGAGCAACAGCAGCACCATCACAAGGCAATCTCCTCTTGTGAATGAGGGAGAGGAGGCCAAGAATGCAGAGGAAGAGGGGGAGGAGGTGCAGCAAGCAAGCGAGCGTGCACCGACACTTCCATCTCGCACTACGAGTGCTCCACAAATTCAAGTCACCCCGCAGCAACGCCATGCAAGCCTTCAAGTCCCTGCATCAGAGGAGGAAGGAAGGGGCAAGAGGAGAATTCAAGCCCCTAATAGGCTGACATATGATGCGCCGGGAAGCTAGCCAAGTCAGCCTTGGCTGGAGCAGTGCTTATGGTTGGAGATGATGAGGAGAGTGAATACGAGGAGTATGCCTTCGCGTTCTTCTCTCCGGTGGAGATGCCGGGAGAACCAGCAATTCTCAAGGAGGCCTTGGAGAGTAGGGATGCTGTGGATTGGAAGAATGCAATGGAGAGTGAGGTGAAGAGCATTGAGGAGAACGGCAAGTGGGAATTGGTGGAGCTACCGGAGGGGCGTAAGGCGATAACGTCCAAGTGGCTCTTCAAGATTAAGACGGATGCCGACGGCAACATTGATCGCTACAAGTCTAGGCTTGTGGCGAAGGGGTACCAGCAGAAGGACAAGGTGGACTTCAAGGAGTTGTTTGCCCCTGTAGTGAAGCTCAAAACGCTGCGGACCCTTCTTGCGGGGGCTGCCATCAAAGGATGGGTGGTAAAGCAAATGGATGTGACAACCGCGTTCCTCAACAGCATCCTTGAGGAAGATATTTTTATGGCGCAGCCAGAGGGGTTTGATGATGGTAGTGGCAGAGTTTGGAAGCTGAAGAAGGCCCTCTATGGGCTCAAGCAAGCCCCTAGGCAATGGTACTTGAAGCTGCGTGAAGTTTTGGAGGAGATCGGCTTCACTCCCTCATCCGCCGATCATTCCTTGTTCATGCTTGGCGAGGGGGAGCAGATGAGTTTCATGGTGGTTTATGTGGATGACATCCTCATTTTCTCACCCTCCTCTGACCTTGTGAAGGAGGTGATGCAGAAGCTTCAAGGCAAGTTTAAAGCCGGAAGCCCAAATTGCACAAGTTTTAAAAGGATGACGCGAGGGGTTTTTTTTGGTTTGGGTTTTGGCGAGTGATTTCGATTTCGGGCATTTCGTTTTTTTCGCCAAACCCAGCCAGCCCACGTATTTCGCCCTGGGGGTTGTGTCAGCACCCGAAAGTCCCAAATTGCAGGTGCGCTACTTTTCAAAGCTTGCACACTGCACTTCGTCAAGTTTTAAAAGCATGACCCACGCGCCTCGCAATTTGGGACTTGGGCTTTAATCGCAAGGCCCTTGATGAAGTTAATTTCTACCTCGGGCTTCACATTGAACGCGACACGGAGAAGCTGTCAAAATATATTTATATCTATTTAGTATAATCTGCCTGTAGTGTAGCTGTTGTGTAATTCTCTTGTATGGTGGTGCACCTCTTTCACCTTTGTTAGGTTGCTATATGTACTCGTGTGCTATAGTGAACCTCCATCCATTCTCGACATTCCTCCTTGGCACAAGCTACTCACGATACCCTTGGCCTAGGCTACTAAGCCTAGGCCCTTCTTAAACCCGGTTACCAGCTAAGCTAGTCTCGTGACATGGTATTGAGCTAGCAAGTTCCTAGCCTGTACAATTTTATGGGCCCACCAACCCGTAATTCGTCGCCCGTCGCACGTCGCCTGTACGCCCCGTAGCCTGCCGTCGCTCGGACCCCCGCAGTTCCCTCGTTTCGCGCCCCGAAGGCCCCCTATTTCGCGTCCCGAATGCCCTCCGATTCGCGCCCCGAAGGTCCCTGTTTCGCGCCCCGAATGCCCCTGGATTCGCGCCTCGAAAACCCCCCGTTTCGCGTCCCACAAGGTCTTTGCGGCCCCTCGATCCCGTCGCCCCGCTTCCCGTCGCCCCGGCTCCCCGTAGCCCGCTGCCGCTCCTTAGCTCGTAGCATTACCCGCGCCCCATGCCCGTCCCTCCCCCCCCCTCCCCCCCTCGTCGCGGCTGTTCGCGTGTGCAGCGGCGGTCGCTGTGTGGGGGAGAGGGAAACGGGGAAGGGAGTGGCGGCGGAACGCTGTGGGGGGAAGAGGGCAAAGGGGAAGGGAGTGCGGCGGAACGCCAGCGACGACCGCCAGCACACCGGCGATCGCACCAGCGCTCGCGCGCCACCTGCTGCTGCAACCCGTCGCCCGCGCGCTGCCCGTTCCTGCAGCCTACCGCTCGCGCCGCCGCCCGCCCGTCCCCTCCTCTCCCCCCCCCCCCCCCCCCCCCGTCGCCCCCACCCACCCGCCAGCGCCAGCCGCGCTTGCGACTGCTATCGTGCTAGCTCGAGGTGGTGGGGTTGGCAGCCAGTGGGGAGGCAGCAGGTGTGGAGGCGGAGGTGGTGGGCTGTTGGGGGGAGGGTAAGGGGGTGCCAAGAACGATTCTGCAGCCTCAACCGCCTCCTCCTCCTCTCCCTCTCAGTCTCGCATCTGCTACTGTGGGGGGAAGATGAAGGTGTGTGGGAGTGGAACTGCACCCCCATCCGATGCCACCACACCTCCTCCTCGCTCTCTCTGCCGCTACTACTGCTGTGGGAGGGAGGTTCAGGGGGTGTGGGTGGTGAGAGTTCAACTGCAGCATCATCCGCCTCCTCCTCCTCTCATCCCCTGCCGCCCGTGCCTTGCTGTCCACCCGTGCTTCCGCCCGTGTCTCTCGTACTGTCGCCCGTGTTCCCCGTACTTGCCCCGTGTCCGTGCCCATGCTGTCCGCCCGAGTTCCATGTGCTCCCGTGCGTCCCGTGCTTCCGTGTTCCCCGTGCTTGCCCCGTGCCCGTGCCCGTGCTGTCCGCTCGTGTTCCACGTGCCCATGCTGTCCGTACCTGTTTGTGCCCCACCAGTCTCACACGTGCTGTCCGTACCCGGTTGTGCCCCACCCGTTTCACCCGTGCTGTCCGTACCCGGTTGTGCCCCACCCGTTTCACCCGTGCTGTCCGTACCCGGTTGTGCCCCACCCGTCTCACCCGTGCGTCCCGTGCTTCCCGTGCTGCCCCCGTGTTCCCGTGCTGCCCCCGTGTTCCTGCGCTGTCCCCGTGCTCCCGTGCTGCCCCGCTCCCCCCGTGCTGCCCCGTTCTGCCTGTGTCGTGCCCGTTTCCGTGCCGTGTTGCCCCGTTCAGCCCTTGTCCTGCCCCGTTCTGCCTGTGCTGCCCCGTTGTCCCCGTGTTGCCCCGTTCTGCCCGTGTTGCCCCGTTCAGCCCGTGTCCTGCCCCGCTCTGCCCGTGTTGCCCCGTTCTGCCCGTGTTGCCCCGTTCAGCCCGTGTCCTGCCCCGCTCTGCCCGTGTTGCCCCGTTCAGCCCGTGTCCTGCCCTGTTCAGCCCGTGTCCTGCCCCGCTCTGCCCGTGTTGCCCCGTTCAGCCCGTGTCCTACCCCGTTCAGCCCGTGTCCTGCTCCGTTCTGCCCGTGCTGCCCCGTTCTGCCCGTTTGTGCCCTACCCGTGCTGTCCGTACCCGTTCGTGCCCCACCCGTGCTGTCTGTTCTCGCTCGTGCCCCACCCGGTCTGTGCTGCCCGGTCTCGTGCTGCCCGTCACCCCCGTGCGGCCCGTCCCGTACAGCACCTAGTTGCTACTCGAACCCGCTACCCGTACCCGTGCTCCTCGCACACCGTGCACCTGCTGCGGGGCGTTCAACCGCAGCCGGGCACCTGTTCCACCGTGGTGGTTCAGATGCTGCTTGGTGGTTGATGCTTAGGCTACTAAGCCTAGGCCCTTCTTAAACCCGGTTACCAGCTAAGCTAGTCTCGTGACAGAAGCGGTGGATGCGAGTGCATCAATGGAAGTACCTGGCGGCCTTGGCTGCTAACTTTGGGCAGAGTGAAGGCCATGTGGCTACTCCCCTTCCCTCTGGGTTCAAGTGTGTGAAGGGACCAGAGGAGGAGAGCGTTGGCGAAGAGGAGAGGCGCCGTTTTCATACGTTGGTGGGCAGCCTCATATATGCGGCGGTAAATACTCGACCGGATGTTGCCTTTGCTACTGAACAGCTGGCTAGGGTTGTTCAATGCCCTAATGAGGAGCATGTAGCAGACGGAATGAGCGTGGCCAAGTAATGAGGACGTGCACGCCGCTTCCTAGTCTAGCCATCGTGGCTTTGTTCGCTACTCACGTTGTTCATTCCTAGCCTATCCTTATTCAGGCGTTGTCTGCCCCTTGCTCGCATCTTTCATTCCTAGCTCGTTCGATCACTCGCCCCCGGATTCTAAGTTTCGACGCAGAGGGTAGAGCGCTAGTTTTTTTCCAACTGGCTTATTCGTGCCGAGCTGTACCTCAAGAGTCAGCGCCAGGATGGTGACACGCTCTGGGCGCACACCTCCGGTGACCTGCCTTCCCCTAAGCGTCCCGCCGACCTTGCTGCTCAGCCTACTGACGCAGACCACGAGCGCTTTGCTCGAGACCACACTGCGGTGTTGGTGTGGCAGTCTCGTGAAGCTGCCGCCCATATTGCCCTCACCAGCCTTTTCCCCGAGTCTGAGGAGGCCCGCTTCGACCAGGTTCGCTCTGCCCAGGAATGCCTTGCTGCGATTAGGACTCGCTACTCCACTCCCACCTCCGCCTCTCTTGGCCGCCTCTTCATGCCGTTTCTGTTTCCCGACCTAGCATCGTTTGACAGTTCTGCTGCCCTTGTCACCCACTTGTGCCCGTTCGACGCTAGCTTGCAGCCTGCACTGTCGAGTGTGTCTTCCTTGGTTTCCCTCTCGCCACTCCTGACTGGTTGTTCTACCACCCTCCATCTCGCCGCTTTCTCAGCTCTCGTGACGTCACTTTTGACGAGTCTGTCTCCTACTACGTCCGCTTCCCCTACCGAGGTAGCACACTCTCCCCTCCTCCTGAGTTCCTCACTTCCCCTCCCCCTCCTGGTCCCGCCCCTCAGGTAGCCCGTACCCCCCCAAGTCTTGCCCCGTCTGTTCTATCTCACCCCGCAGTCCCCCTCGTCACCGTCCTCGTCTTCACAGTCACCACAGCAGCCTTTGTCGCAGCCGCCAGTTTTCACGTCGTAGCGGCCGGACATTGTGGACGCTGGAGGTGCTGGTGAGGGGGGTGTGGCTGCAACGGGTGCTAATTCTAGGGGTGTTGACGCATGTGGTGCTGGCTCTGGGGGTGCTAGCGCTGGTGGTGCATGCTCTGGGGGTGCTGATACTGGTAGTGCTGGCTCTGGGGGTGCTGACACTGGTGGTGTTGCCCTTGAGGGTACTGACGCTAGAGGTTCTGCAGAGGGTGTTGAGACTGCGCCTGTGGCCCCTCGCCGTTCGGAGAGACTGCAGTAGCAGCAGCAGTTCCGGACACTGCTCCGGCTCGTTTTCCTCCTCGTTCCCCTCTTCCTCCTCTCCTTCCTGACCCGTCGCATCTCTCGTCCCTGGACTACTCGCCGTGACCCTTGTGCTTGTCCCTCGTCCCCTGTTCCTGTCTTCCACCCTATGCGCCTTTGTCTCTCTTCTCCTCGTGTCTCTCCTCCTCCACTTCCCTCTCCTCCTTAGTCATCCCTCACTGTGTTTCCTCGCTGTTCTCTGACTTCTTTCATGCCACTCGTCCTACAGTCTTGCGTGTTTTGTCCTCCCTTGTCACTCACCCTACGGCTCCTCCTTCGTCTGTCTCAGCTCTTGTCGCAGTTGTCACTGACTTTGCCTCCTCCAACCGCCTTGACTATGCTGGTCGGTCGGTAACCAACGCTGGCTATCCTCCGTCTGTCGAGGATGAGTTTTCCCTTGGCTGCGACGTCCTAAAGGACAGGCAATTTGAGCTAGCTGTTCTTGCGGCTGTTGCTCCTCATCTCTCTGCCATGCTGCTAGTCCCTGAGGGTGACCCTGACGATGTCGACATCCCGAGTCCTTGCACCTACACTGAGGCGATTTCAGGACCCTGGGCCTCGTAGTGGATAGCAGCCATGGAGGCAGAGATGGCATCTTGGAGGTCCACAGGCACCTACATCGACGCAGTTCCTCGTCCAGGGGCGAACATGGTCGATGGTATGTGGATCCTCAAGGTAAAGCGGCCGCCTAGATCGCCGCCTGTTTCAAGGCACGTTACGTGGGAAGAGGCTTCAGTTGACGAGAGGGGGTAGACTTCTTTCATACCTTCTCCCCCACCCCGAAGTTGACTACTCTTTGGGTACTACTGCACGTGGCAGCATAGCGTAACTACGAGCCTCACTCACTAAACTTCTCGGCAGTTTTTCCAGGGCAGCCTCCACGAGCAGATCTGGTTGCACAGTCCTCCTAGTTTCTTTGGGTTGTTTCCTCCTGACACCCAGTGAAGCCTTAAATGGCCAGTCTATGGTTTGCAGCAGGCGCCCCGCGAGTGGCACGACACACTACGCACCACTCTTGCTTCTCTCGGATTCGCTCCGTCCTCTGCAGAACCATCTCTTTTCGTCCGTTCTGGTCCTTCTCCCTTTTATATCCTGGTGTACTTGCGACATCGTCTTTGCCGACATCGTCTTTGCCACAGCTGACAGAGTTGCACTAGCCTAAGTGAAGGCCGAGCTGCAGAGGTTTGCACTGACACACCTGCACTGACCTGGGTGAGTTGCTTCACTATCTTGGTCTGCATATCACCCGGGACAGAACTGCACGCACCATTACACTGACTCAGTCGCACATGGTGCAGCGGATCCTCGAGCGGTTCCGCTCTCGCTACTCCTCTTCACAGGCTACTCCACTTGCAGTCGACCACAAGCTCACGGCTCCTGTTCCTGACAAGCCTGCTGAGCCTAGTGATTAGCACGCAGAGCTGGTGGGCTGCCTCATGTACCTGATGACCTGTACTCGTCCAGATCGTGCATACCCTCTCAGCGTTCTAGCTTGCTTTGTTGCACCCAGGGGACACTGTCCTGTCCACTAGGAGGTCGCTTAGAGGGTTGTGCACTATCTGCCGAGCATGGGGACAACGACGTGTCGTGGACAGACGACGTTCAGTCTTGGAGGTCTTTACATGGCTACTGCTTCAGTCTCGGCACTGGAGTTGTGTCTTGGAGGTCGACACGTGCGTTGGCGGTTGCCCTCTCTAGCTATCAGGCTGAGATCTACGCCGGTGCCATGGCTGTACAGAAGTTGCGCTGGCTCACCTTTCTGCTCACCGACCTGGGTGAGCCGCCTCGCACTGCCCCAGTGCTCTTCGCTGCCAACAGGGCCATGATCCGGTTGTGTCAGGAGCCTTGACTGGTGGGGCACGATGAGCAGCGATACTTCTTCTTGCGCGAGCTGCAGCGACGAGGTCAGGCACGGGTAATTACAGTGGCCTCAGAGGCCAACAATGGAGACGTCTTCACCAAGGCTCTTCAACCTTGCGACCATCAGCGGTGCTCCACTCAGCTTGGACTAGTCACTTGTGGTTCTCGCTTGTTTTGTGATTTGTGTTACGGTACTTGCTTTGCTTGTTGTATTATATATATATATATATATATATATATATATGCATATCTGTGAACTCTTGGACTGACCTTGTGGCCTTGTTTGTCTCAGAGGTTGGACTAGTAGTGTCGCCCTGAGTTTGCTTTTTGTTGTTGCTCAACGACTACCTCTTAACTAGCCTAGGGGGTGTGTCAAACTATATTTATGTATATGTGTGTTAGTTATAAAGGCTAGAAAAGGGTTATTCTTCATAAGGGATAGCACTTGTTCTTTTTTACTATTGATCTTACCCTAGTGCACTTTGACCTCTCGACACTTTTGAACCGTCGACTCGATTCGTTGGGGTAGGGGAGGGAAGACGCTGTCAAATGTTTATATCATGGTAGATAGGTTGTGGTGAGGTACATCTTAAGGGGTACATACATTTTCTCGACATCCCTACGTGTACCCCCCTTACCAGTCGACACACGTACTTACATACTACTTAGTTTCTACGAGAATCCATTAATTCTTACCGCTTCGAATTGATACGGGAAATCACATACATGTACCGTATCTGCATGTGAAGCGGGTGGTGCAGATCGTGCTGGCGGAGCTGGCGGCGCAGGGGGCGCTGGCGGTGCCGGAAGTGCGGGTGGGGCTGGTGCTGCATTCGCTAAAGAAGCAATCGCATGAGCAGCACTAACAGCTCTCATCTTCATCAGCAACAATAGGGCTGACAAAGTGACACACTATGCATCAGGTTCTTTATTGCGATGGAAGGTCACCGCATGGCTGTCACTAGGGCAAGAGACGGAGATAGAAAGAAATGAAAATGAGGCGATCTTGCCCGCACTGTCAAAGTTAGGCAAGTGGAATGAGTTTGACTAGCAGGAGATGAGTTCAAATAGGAAACCCTAGAAAGTGTTGTAATCTATACAATGCACATCACTGTAGCCTAACAAGCCTAATAATCATATAGATATAATATGACACATAATACCCCTTGCGGAGAGTCACTCTACACCGGGATCTGGACTACGGAGAAAATCAAGGGTGGTACGAGTGATCGTATCGTTCCTTGTGTTCTCTAGCACTTGTGTGTTCACGGAGCAAAACTACAATAGTTTCCACTAGCAAAAGTTGAGAATATTGATTGGAATTGCAATGGCAACAATGACTACATCAGATGCAAAGAAACCTGACAGGCAGGTCGGCCGCAAGCTCAGCAAGTTGGCGGCCTGCCAACGCAGCAAGTCGGCGGCCTGCCAGCGCAGCTTAATGGCGGCTTGCCAGCACTGCAAGTCGACGACCTGCAAGCGCTGCACCAAGGTGGCTTGTCAACGCTGCAGCAGGGCGGCTTGCCAGCGTTGCAACCGCGGGTGACAGTAGCGCATGTGCGTGTAGGCGGTTGAGCACGTCGTGCACCGCCCCCAGACAATGCGCGGGCACCAAGTCGGCCACGTGCCGACGGTTGCGCCTGATGAGCCACGTCGACCTTGGGATACCAGCCCGAGGTCGGCTTCGCCAAGAACGTCCTGGGCGACGTCCGCGCACCTCCGCAGAACCTCGTCGCTCGGGTTACACGATCGACCGGGTAATGTCCCCGACTCCCTTCAAGTCGGCGTCCACAAATCAGCGCCAACTTGTTGGGCAGTAGGAGCGGGCAAAGTGATGTACGTGTTCGTCGACCGCCCAGGTCGACACCACCCGCCACCTTCACCAAGTCGGCGTCCCCGCTGGTTGACGAACCACTTCGTCGACCACATCGGTGTCAGAATCCCAACCACTAGACCATTGGGATAAAAAGACTTGTTAAGTAGCGGGTCAGTGCGCCCATAACCCCCCAGGCGAACACTCCTGTAACCTCCCATAGGATCGATCGGGGATCTCACAGTGCAGCTCTACTGTGCACCCCCCCACACTGGGAGGCCCAGGACTGAGCACAGCGGCAACGGCCTACATGTGCATACACCGGGACTTGAACCCGAGACCTCTCTGATACCATGTAAGAATCCCAACCACTAGACCATTGGGATAAAAGGGCTTGTTAAGTAGCGGGTCAGTGCGCCCATAACCCCCCAGGCGAACGCGCCTGTAACCCCCCCAGGATCGATCGGGGATCTCACAGTGCAGCTCTACTGACAATCAGTCGAAGTCGGCCACCGACTTCTCGTCGTGCAAGTCGACAAAGTCCGTCGACTTGCTCGCCCAAGTTGGCGTCGGCCACTGCAGGCACTCGGCTGCACCTTCCGCGCACCCGACCACGAAGTCGGCTTCGCCCAAGCGAGGGCGGGGCCAACTCCCGTCAACACCCCCCTCTAAAGGCGGGGAGTTGAGAGACGTGAGCGACGTGTGATGTGTCCCTCATGTCTCCCACGTGCCCCCGCGTGCCAAGGTGACAAGGATTGAACGTTATGGATGGGGGAATCGTCCCCCGTGGCCAGATTCCATCAACAGCGGGCCACAGACATGTGCTGGCTGTCAAGAGCTTGCGACGCCATGCCAAGGTTGCTTGGGATGGCTGTCGTCGGGCTCGAAGGACAAAGCGTGGCCTTTTAGAATTCTCAATCTAGAGAGGCACCATAACAAGAGACGCACATGGATGCGAAATAAGAAGGGTGATTAACATTCGAGGGATGACTATCTCGTGGGGTTGCGATATTCTTCAATGATACACTACATACCTAAAAGCGGTACTGGTATGACCCCAATATGAACAGAGCAATTGCATAACATAAAAAGAATACTTTCAAGCATCATTTATAGTACAGAAACACTGATAGACTTTTAAGAATCATTTATAGTACAGCATTCGGTAATGTGAGTGCTGCACTGATAGACTGTAGCCGCTCGAGTTTAACGAGGCAATCGAACGACCACGATGGGACATGATGCATGGTGTACAAGATAGTCGCTCACACTCCCAAGAAAAAGCCTGGTGTAAACAAATGTGGAAGAGGGGATGAATTCAGGGATTGAAGAACCATGGAAATGTAAAATCTCAAATATAAATACTTATAAAAAGGGCAAATGGGGCGATCACTGGTGCAAGCACACACGTGGGAACATTGCGAGCACGCTTGGCTGCTAGCAACACATGCTCCGGAGAGATGGATGCAGCAGTATCACACAGGAGTGCAACTACAGGCTCAAGCACGGCATGTGCGGCCACCAACGCGACACAAGTGTGGAACTACAAGCGGGGCCAGGTTTGCTGCTCAATCACCACAGCAGTGCAGCCAACAGGAACCCAGAGACAGCGGTTGAGCTGCTGATCCCCACGAACCATGTCTGCTGTTCCCACGAAGAGGCACGGCTGTGAGAGAGAGGGCTACACCGGTCAGGCAACAAGCACCTGCTTTAGAGATACACCAGTCGACACAGGGATGAGGAGAAGCAGACTGCATGCATGCACGCACCTGCCAACTGCGCCCAGGCCTCTGCTGCCCACGACAATGAGGTCGGCTGCCACTCGCTTGGCCTCGCTCAGAATCACCTCCCTGGGGTCGCCCTCCTCCGATGAACACTCCACCTGCAGGTTCTGGGATAACGGCACAACGGATGCAGCCAAAGGAAGGCTGGCCTTATCGCCGTGCTTCTGGTGGGCACTGCCTTGTGATGCCCATGCCCATGCACATGCCCATGCCCATGCCCATGCTCATGCCCATGCCCATGCTCATGCCCATGCCCATGCCCATGCCCCACGCCCAAGCCCACGCCCACGCCCAAGCCCACGCCCACGCCCACGCCCAAGCCCACGCCCAAGCCCACGCCCACGCCCACGCCCACGCCCCTGCCCACGCCCCTGCCCGTGCCAATGCCCATGCCCATGCCCACGCCCAACCTCATGCTCATGCTCCATGGCAGATGCAAGGCCCACATCAGCGCTCAGGAGGGTAAGAGAGGCTGTGAAGGAGGGGTCGGAGCGTTAAAGGGCGAAGCTCTATCCGGTGACACCAGCGGACATGTGTATACCACGAGCGAGCGTGCACCATATGAATCTGGTGGCATAACATCGCATAGTGGCACGTGAGTATACATTTCCCTACAGCAGCAGCAGCAGCAGCAGCAACAGCCTCCCATCCGACCCCCTCCCCCCTCACCTCGGGCCCTTCCCTGCTGGCAGCATGTGCAAGGTCGTCCAGCAGCTGCTGGGATTCCGCCTGCAGCTGGCGCTGCAGCGCGTACACCTCCTCGCTCGCCAGGTAGATGCTCTCACGGTCAAACATCTCCGCCTGTGGGCGGCACCAGGCGGCATAATGGGAGCAAATGTAATTGGGTACAGAGGGAGTAGCGGCAAAAACGGTGCGAGGGGGAAATAGGGGGGAAGGCAACGAGGGACAGGGGGGGTTAGAGAAGCAGGTGAGACAGATTTGCAACAAGTGCTGCAGCAGGTGTGTTACACGTGGCATGGCACTCACGACGGGCGGTCGCACGTGCAGGAGGAGCAGCGCGTCGGATTCGGCAGCGAGGTTGGCGAGCGACCAGTGGAACGCGTGCGACCCCTCTAGGGAGGCGCGGCCAGGGCCGAGAGGAGGGGAATGGGGAGGGGAAGGGAGGAGGGAAAAAGGAAAAAGGGAGAGGAGAAGGGGAGAGGAGGTTGGAAGAGGAGGGCGCCGGGAGAGGAGAGGGGACGATTAAAGGGGAGGGTTGAGGATTGTAAGGTGGCGACGCAACGAAATTGCCTGGCTTGACAGGAAGATATCGGAGGAGAGGGCTGTGGAGGGTAATGAAGTCGAGACTAATGGAGGTGAGAGTAATGGAGGTGAGAGTAATGAAGGCAAACGGAGACGCTAGGGGAACGGCCGACTAGTGTCGCGTCCCTGAGGAGACGTGGGAGCATACCTTCAGATTTGTCAACAGCAACTAGTACCCTCTTTCCTGTTGCCGCCATGATTGCGATAGCCGGCCAGCAAATTAGGCCTCTGTTTCAATATTTATTTCTGTAGGAGACGCGCAGTAACATTAAATGTACTCGTAGGGAAACTAGGAGACAACGTGCCCCTGTAAGCTATCGTCGGATTTTAGACTCTACCCACTAGGAGTTGAGAACGAGACTAGTATTGTTTGTTTCTATTCTTTTCCCTTGCGCCGTTTGATTCTTCTGTGCTTTTGAGTTGTTTTTCGAGTCAAGTCTGGTTCAAATCGAACTTGGGTGGGATCGTTGGAACGGAGAGGCCCGAAACTCCAGCCTGTACGGTTTCTGCGGCGCACCGCTGTGCTCTAAAGATGAAACCCGCCGCCAGCAGTACATGGCACTTGCTGTGCTGGACATCATGTCGGCGTGCGTGCCTACGTGGACTGCTTGACAAGAACGCAGCGAAACCGCTTTACAAGAACGTAGCACTAGGTCTTTTTGCAAGGTTGAGTAAACAAATCATGTGTTAACTATTCTTGAATGAAAAAAATGTGTGGATGTCAATATTGAATATGTGATGCGATGACAACTGTTGTCGATAATTTATGCTTGAGTCGTGCTGTCCAACACAGCACCTGTCAGTCAAGCGATGCACCACACTCTTCCATAACATCCCTCCCGTCCAGTCAGTTTGGGAGGATTGGTTTCCCCAAGGAGACCCCATCTTTGTCACCCTTTTCTTTCGTTGTGTGGGGGTAATTTCTTGGTTTCTTTGTCTTTCTTTCCAGTCATGCATGCCGAGAATCCAGAACCGCCTGATGGTCGCCGAAACGGGCTTTCCATTCTCGGTGTTCTACCCCGCCTGTCACAGTATACAGCGTTCATGTCGCAAAAGTGCCGTGTATCCCATCTCCGGTGCGGCACGCCTGTACCGTTTACCCGTTAAATCCCCAAATTCAATGTATGCTTTTGAGCCAGACCCATCACTTGTGCTTGTTCCAGGTGGTGGCGAAGGATCGTCCAAGCCCAGCGCGGGGACCCGTAAACCGTGAATAGTGTGCAGATGGCCGTGTACTTGTTATCAAGTACACGCAGCAGAGACTATGGGGCGTGCCGCCACCCCGGAAAGAGGCATCACTGCAACGGTCGGCAGCTCCACGGGATGCGCCTACTAAGACAACGACAAAAGCAGAATACGACATCATAAAGCATCGAAACGACAAGGTATGGGCGAGCAATTTCAAGTGGTTGCTCCTCCATCGGATGAAGAATGGTAGGCCAGTGTTTCATTTGCATGAAGTATGGTGATCATATAGCACACATGAACTACGGGTGTAAGGGTGAGGGCGGTTGAGATTTGCAGCATGGAAGCATTCAAGCGCACGTCTCCACACAAGCTCGCAAGGCGTCGTTGAAGGTTAAGGCTGATGAGGAGGCATCGAGGGAAAAGCAAGTCATGCTTCCCGCGGTGACAGACAGCCGATGCGTCTACAAGACACATCATTTGCTGCCTGCACATTGCACTTTTTGTCTGCAAAGCAGGCGCCCCAATTGCGACGTTTTTGCCGCTTTGCTGGTGTTGAGTACATATTATATATATGTGTTTATGTTAACTGCCTTAGCATGTAGTTTAGTGTAGGTACATTGGTGGTGCACCTCATTCTCTTGTTTCTTGCCTATATGTTCTTCCTTTGCTATAGTGAAGTCCCTTTTTTGGCCAAACACCTTCCTCTCGCTACTCTCGTCCACCTTGCCTTGGCTAGCTCAAACCCTAGCCATGGCTCCTAACTAAGTCGCTATTCTGACATGCTATCAGAGCAGGCCTGATCCTAGGCCATTATTTTATCCACATGGGCCCACCATTTTCGTCTCCTATGGCTGCCCCCGTCGCTCCCTGCTTCGTACTGCCCGTCGCGCAGCTTTCGTCCGTCACTCTGCCCGTGACGGAGAGCTGCGCGATGGTGCCAAATGTGGCCCCGATGCGGTTTCTCGTCGTGCGCGTCGCTGGCCCCGTCCGTCGCCTTCCCCCACTCGTCGCAGCCCGTCCGTCCCGCGTCGTTTCGTCGCACTGTGGCCCCTCGTCGCCCCGCGCCGTATCGTCGCCCCGCGGCCCCCCGTCGCCCCGCGTCGTTTCGTCGCCCCGTGGCCCCCCGTCGCCCCGCGCCGTTTCGTCGCCCCGCGGCCCCCCGTCGCCCCTCCCCGTTTCGTCGCTCTCCCGCGGCGTCCCTCGCGTGGTCTCTGCCATGCGTGGGGTGGTGGGGTGGTGCCCGAGAGTGGGGGAGGCGAGGGTGGGTGACTCGGCCTCCCCGCTCTCTCTGTCCCTGCAGCGGCTGGTGCTGAAGGGGAGGGGGGGGGAGGGGGTGGTTGACGCCACTCTGCTGCTATGCCACGCTGCCGCCCGCCTTCTCCCTCTCCCTGCTGCTCGTGCAGCCGAGGAGGGGGTGAGGGGAGGGCGTTGGGGTGGCGGGTGTGACAAACCAGCGGCCGTCCCTCCTCCTCTCTCTCTTCCTGCCGCCCCTCCCGAGGTGGGGGGCAGGGGGGGGGGGGAGGGTGAGGGGGTGGCGGGGGTGACCAGAATTTGCTAGCCCGCCTCCTCTCTCTTCTTGCCGCCCCTCCTGGGGTGGGGGGGAGGGGGGCGGGGGGTGAGGGGGTGGCAGGAGTGACTGCTCTTTCTTCGTGTGTTCCCGCGTGTTTCCGCTGCGCATCTCTGCTTCTTGTCTGTGCCTGTCCTGCCTTGTCCGTGCCTACAATGTCTGTCCTGCTTAACTGCTGCAGTGGGGGGGAGGTTTGGGGAAGAGGGGGGAGGTTGAAAGGGGGTGGCCGCCTTGAAGCCAGCAGCTCCAGTCGCCCGTGAGCCCATTGCTCCAGTCGCCCGTGAGCCCGTTGCTCCAGTCGCCCGTGAGTCAGTTGCTCCAGCCGCTCGTCTAGCCGCGGAGCCAGTTTACTCCAGTTGCCCGTGTGCCAGTTGCTCCAGTTGCCAGTGTGCCAGTTGCTCCAGTTGCCCGTGTGCCAGCAGCTTCAGCCGCCGCCCACCACCTCCTCTCCTCTCATGGTCCCTCCTCCTCCTCACTTGCCCTCTCCTACTTCCGCTGTGTCTGGTGTACCCCCTCAGGGGGTGTGACTTCACAAGCTCATGCTGTAGGCAGTTAAGGGGGTGTGTTGAATACATATTATATATATGTGTTTATGTTAACTGCCTTAGCATGTAGTTTAGTGTAGGTACATTGGTGGTGCACCTCATTATCTTGTTTCTTGCCTAAACGTTCTTCCTTTGCTATAGTGAAGTCCCCTTTTTGGCCAAACACCTTCCTCTCGCTACTCTCGTCCCCCTTGCCTTGGCTAGCTCAAACCCTAGCCATGGCTCCTAACTAAGTTGTATTCTGACAGCTGGTACTTGGGAAAGGACGGTCTACCATACCTTCCACCAGGCGGAGGCTATGGTGCTTATTACATGGAGTGAGTTCACCATTCTTCATCTTATGCGTTGGTTCTTTATATGATGTGCTTTATAATAATGTTTACTAATCTCAACGTACATGCAAGACACACAACGGAAACACCTTCTTGAGTCGCGGCATGGGGGTAGATTTGCAAACAATGGCACGGATTTTGACGGATGGGGCTTTAGTTATGACTGGCAAGACAAACAACAATGCATCATGTCTGAAGACGAGGTTTGGGCACCTCGTCTCAACACACTTCATTGCTTATCGGTGAGAGACCTTGTTATTGCTTCAAAATTGTTGTTCTTTTGTTACTAATTCTAACTACTGTTGTGTGATGCTATCATGTGCATTCACGCATGTCTGCCTCCCATCCTGTTTTTTTCAACTTGCATGCATGGTATGCGTGTGTGAAAGAATGCGTGTTTGGTGTTGTGGGGATTTTGTGAGTGTGTGTGAATTCTATTTTGCTTGAGCATATATATGAAATGACTTCCCTGTTCAAGAGATTTTCGACGAATCAAGCATCCCCTCAATCAGAACATGAACGAGAAAGCTACGAGCAGTCAAAGTTCGTATGCTTTAGATATATCGTTGCGGCGACAATGTGATTTTGTGGGTGAATCTATGTTGGGTATAGACCATTTGGGGTATGGGAATTTTCTCACTCTACTGTAGTTGCTGCCAAATAGTTTGGAAAACAAAATCCAGGTTGGCAAGTGTGGCCAACTTGTTAGAGGTGGATGGCATGGGTTGGGAGAATGACAATGGTGAAAGTTTGATTCATATAGGGAGGGAATTTTGTGTGCTTATGGGGTTTCCTTGGTTGGGGACTCATTGGGAACCTTCCCTCTCATCCTCCTTATCATCTCCTACCTGTTTTTTTGCTACTCTAATTCCTTGTGTGCTTCTTGGTTGAACTATTGAGTTTGAGTTAAGTTTCAGCTGCAGCATACCCTCCAGTGCGCCGAAACTAATATCTCAAGATATACTTCACATTGTGCTATGATTCAACTTGGGAATGCTAGCTGCGCTCAAGGGCTACAACATAATTGATTATGATGAAGTTCTAACAGTTATCGTTTCGTCGGCGGCGTTTCTGTCCATAAACCTAGTCCAACGATTTGAGTTATTTTGGCCTCCTTATCCACCTAGACTCCGTCCATAATACTATTAACTACTCCGTCCACCTAGACTCCGTCCATAATACCAGGGAGGCCGCTACTTCTGTCCCGGAGCTGAACATGGTGGACTATTTCATCCGTGTGTTCGCTAAGCTCATCGGACGGAGCAGTGTCCAGTACCAACGCTTCATCAATATTCAGCAGACATTACGTCAAACCACCTCAAGGCGCAAGAGTCCATGTAATTCAATGGTTGTTGTGCGTTCGCTGAGCTCATCGGGCAGAGCAGCGTCCAATACCAACGCGAAGGCGCAAAGAAACCATGTGATTCGCCGGTTGTCTCAAGGTGAGGCCGTGCATTGATTGGTTAAAATGCTACTTGATGCAATTGTGGTTCTAAAGGAGTTCAGGACTGACTTGTAGGAGGTGGTCACCTTGTTCGAGTTTCAGTTCCTTCTCCGTTTCTTGG